ACTGGGGCAGAGACCAGCATCAGCACAGAAACTTTCAACCTGTCAATACAGCTACTGAAAATGTTGTAAAGTCACAACTGCCCTGGTCTCCTGGTGAGCAGTGCTGCTTCCAGACACAATTATAAGGCACATTTCCTAAGGCAGGAGTTAGCTCTTCTTCTTGTGTTCGTGGGGAGCAGAATGTTTTGTATGTGTAAAAAAGAATAGATTGTAATCCTGAAATGAGCCTGGATCACCTATGTATGGACCAGAAAAGAGATATCAGGTTATGAGATCTTTTCTTTTTACTAAAGAAATGGTTTTCATTGCTGCCAGCTTCCAACTAACACACTGTACTTACAGGTGCATATTGTATTTTCTAAAATCTCTGAAACAAGTAATTTGAAGACAGCATAACCCATGATCTGCTTTCCTACAGCAAGAACTGCTTTTCCTGGCATCAAGAAATAGGGAAAATAATTCATTGACAACACTCTATGACATTTTCTCTTCCTTATCTCTTTAGGCCAAGTCTCCAGCAAGCAGAGTATTTCAGAAATAATCATAAGAGAAATATTAAAGAGAGGAAAACAAAACAGTTGCCTTGTTCCCATGGAAATGCATGGGAAGAGTTCAAGCAAGCCCCCTTCTGATGTGGCCATGTGTTTGTCCTTGGATGCTGAGCAGAGATCAGGCAGCTCATCCTCTCCATGGCCAGCCTGGGGTTTAGTGCCATGGCAGATCAATAAATGCCTGTGACCTTGGGGGCTCTCTGCTTTTCTCTGGGCAGAGCAAATGGAACAGAAATGTCATCTGGGACACCCTGCTGGTCTGTGCTTTCCTCCTCCCTTCTTGCTTGGTCCAGCCCTGCCCTGGTGGATCCTGGCACAGCTCCACACAAGGATCCCTCTGACCTCTTCCCAAGCCACCAGTGACCCCATGGGAGCATCTGCCCATCAGTGCCACTCTTACCTCCTGGGTGAGAAAGGGATGAAGAAATTGGGCTATGGAGGTTAAAAGAAGTGGTTTTGCCCCTCTGGCCAGCTGTCATTGGTCACCAAGTAAAAACAACTCGCATGGGCCAATCACAGATGCACCTGTTGCATTCCACAGCAGCACATAATCATTGTTTTTCTTTTCCTCTGAGGCTTCTCAGCTTCTCAGGAGAAAAAATCCTAGCAAAGGATTTTTCAGAAAATATGTCCATGACACAGCTGCTCTTCCCCCAGCCTGTGGTGCTGTGTGGGGCTGCTGTGATTGAAGTTCAGGATTTCACCTTTTTAAATCTCAAGCAATTGGCCTCAGCCCACCAAACCAGCCTGTCCAGCTCCCACTGCAGGGACACCCTCAAGCAAATCAACACTCCCAGCTCTCACCCAGCTTGGTATCATCTGTGCAAATCCTGATCCCCCAAAGATGACTCCTGACAAGGACAGCGCTGAATCCCTGCTGTGCCTGCCCTGCAGACATCCCTGCTGGCATGGCCTGGTTTCCTGCAGGGCCAGGGAGCCTCCCAGCAGTGCCACGTGTGCTGGGACGTGCTCTCCTGCTCTCTGTGTTTGTCTGGGGGGATCAGGAGCATGCCTGAACCCAAGCACATGCTGGAAAGGAGGTTTCGCACGCAAAGCAGGCTGGTTTGGAGGGAAATAGGTGCATGTCTGTGATTAAATGAAAATAATTGGGATAAATAGGGAGGAAAAAGAAATTTCCTTGCAATTACTTGGATTTGTTATAAGAAAGAATGACACATGTTTTCAGTTTCATCTGCTTTCTACAGTTTTGCCTCTATGTTTTTTCTCCTACTTTCAGAAATTAATTTGGGCTCCTTTGCTTCATTAATGGGAGATTACCTAGCTTGGCTAGAGGTTTTGTGTATTAGAAATGGGCTTTACTGATACAACTCTGAAACCCTGATGGGCTCTTTGGTTCCAAAACCCCCTTCTGCCAAAACCCAAATAGAATAACATGGCTATTTCCCTAAATTATTATTCAAACATAAGGAAGCAATTTTTTTCCCAATGGTTTTGGTGTTAAGGAGCAAAGAGAGCTACTAACAGTGTCTGCTTCCCATAAATCCTACCTCACTTTGTGGTTCTTCCCCAGTTATTCAGGTAGAGTTTTTAAATCAGGATGATATTGGGATTTATGAGAAAAGTTTATTTTTATACACTTTGTTCTATAAACATCCACTTTCAAAAAACCCCAGAAAATTCAGTTGTAAAGTCTAAAAAACTCAAGGTGGTTTTGAGTGCAGATCACCATCTGAATTATCCACTTACACTCTGTGAGACAAGTCCTGCAAAAGTTGTGACTGAAATAGTACAAGAGGGATGTGTTTATGGTTAAAAGGGGAGAATTCCTAAGAGAACGATTTCCCCTCTGCTGTTTCTTTTTGTCATTCTTCTCTCTTCTCTTCATCATTCTTCTCTCTTCTCTTCTCTTCTCTTCTCTTCTCTTCTCTTCTCTTCTCTTCTCTTCTCCTCTCCTCTTCTCTTCTCTCCTCCCCTCTCCTCATCTTTTTTACAATTACTCTGCCCTGTTACTATTAATTTTGCTCTTTCACTTCTTGTCATCCCCTGTATCCATCAGGAAAAATTTATTTGTCCACAAAAACATCCCCACAGTGCAGACAGATGCCAAAAATCCCATCCTTGTCTCCAGTTGTGTCCAGCTGCTCTGGTCACCCCTAGCACTGGTCCTGCAGATGCTCTGGCAGCCTTCAAGCTCCTGGTATGTTTTGAAAAAGCAGATGTTACTAATTTGTAAAGCATCTTTGAACTTCTCAAGGGGGGACTGACACATTTGGTGCTGTTTCTAACAAAATGGGGATTTTTTTTTGTCTTTCTGTTTTTTACCAGGATTTTTTTGGGTTTCTGCACCATCTCTTGTGAACCCACCCAGCTATGCCAACCTCCTCTTCATTTCTGCATCTCAGCCCTTCCCTCACAGCTTTTCAAGAGGAAAATGCTCAACCATGCCTTTCCCATTACTCTTGGAAATGGCATGAAATCCTGCCCTTTTTGCAGGTCTCCAGATGAGCTGATCCCTGAAATTGCTACAGAGTGGGTGTAAAAATCATAGCTGTGTGCTGTGTACCAGCCCTGGGTGGACAGAACCCAAATTCCTCATTCCTCTTGTGTTTCCTGCACGTGCAGCCTTCCTGGTCCCTCTCTGGACAGTGTCACCAGCAGGGACAGGCACTCAGTGCTGACACTTTAATGGCATTTTTATTCAGGTCTGGCATCCCCTGTTACTTGTCGAGAGGGTTAACTTGTGACTGATCTGACTGCTAGTCCTTATCTCTGGAGATGATCCAAACCCCAGCAGGAATGAAAGTGGAAAAAAAAAAAACTCACAAGGAAACAACACTTTTTGGGTTTTGTACCCAGTGAGAGCATTTTGGGTTGCATTTGGACTTTGCATTTGGGGAGGTTCTTTTTGTTTTCTTTGCAGAATAAATGAAATTCTCACAGAACTCACAAGGAGAACAAAATGTTTTACTTTTTTTTTTTTTTTTCTTAAGGAAGACAAAGGGGGAAACAGGAAGAAAATTCCAATCTTTTCATCAAGCAACAAAAATACCAGCCAAAAGAAAAAGATATTCAACACTGTGTTTGGAAAATCTGTAAGAATAGCAAAGGTTTAACTATATTAATTATACTTTCTCAGCTTTATACAAACACTTATAAAACATGAATGAATACCAGAGGGAATATTTTTCTTGACAAAAAATTAAAACACAAGCTTTTAATACCTATGCCAGGAAAATCAGTTCATTTGTTTAAACAGTAGTTTAGAAGCCAGAAAATAAAACAACAAAAAGTAGTTACTTTTCTATGGATTTAAATTTTGGAGTTAAAATCTCTTGATGGCTTCTAGGGAAGCCTAAGTTCTGTAGTTATTCTCAGGAAACAGCATTGCTGACTCCAGCAGAAAACAATTCAAATTGTGGTGATGTGGAAGGTGGAGCCTTTGAAACCAGTGGAGCTTGAGGAGGAGTCAGAATCTTTAAAAATGCCAATATTATTTCAAGAGGGAAAAAAAAAAAAAAGTATTTCCAAAAGGAGCAAAACTGGAAGGTAATGAGAGTCAGCTTCTGTGTTCTGCTTGGACTGAAGCTCACATTTGAAAGCTGATATGGGCCTTTCCAAGTGCAGGGATGGTTTCAAGCATTAACATTATCAGCCATGAATACTGAGGCCTAAACCCACACTGCTTGAGCAGAAGTCAGTTTGTAAATACCTAATAAAGGATATGATGGACTTTTCTTTTTTTATGAGATAACCAAGAAACAGGTTTTACTTCATATTTTAAGAAATTAGACTATATCAAATGTGTAATAAAAATATTTTCTATAGGATTTTAAAATATATACATATATAAACTACCTAAATTTTTAATGCCCTTTTGATATTGATGTGGTCTCTACAGGTTTTAAATGTAACTAAATGAGGCTGCCCAGCAACCTCCATTATACCTCAGTGAGTACAAAACTTGAAGCTTTGTCCACACTGTAATTAAAGCTGCTTGAGAATGGGATCTGAAATTGCCTGCTGGGCCTGATCCAACACCCACTCATAGGCTCAGTCCACTCCTGACTGCAGGATTTGGTCTTAAACACAGTCCCAAAATGATGTGGTTTCCAACCCAGCTGGCTGACCAGTGATAAAGGCACCTGAGGGAGTTACTGAGAGCTTTGAGGCACTTCTTGAAAAAATAAAAGTTGTTATTTATTCGATTTAGAATATTTAAAGATATATAGGGACAGTCTTAAGACAATTTGAGCACATGTATATTTTGTGCTGGAGAGAGGCACAAACTGCCTGAGTCTCAGACACAGCCTATGCCCAGGCACTGGGTGAGGACTTCAATCAAGCTCAAGGCCGAGAGCCTGAGGGTGATAAGGGAGCAAAGGGCATCCATGCCTTCATCCTTCCCACCACATCCCTCTCTAGATCCCAAGCCTTGCTTGCCCAGCCCATGAGGAGGAGGAGCTCCTGTGTCAAGTGCTTGCAATGGCCCAGAGGTCTGGGCTGGCACTTCCATCAAGCACAGCCTAAAGCTGGAGGTGCAGCTGGGTGAGGGAGGAGAAGCACAGATGATTGTCGGGCCCTGTGTGCAGTGAGAACAGCAGGACACAGCTGTGGGCCGTGCCAAATCCAGCTGGCATTCCTGTTTAATCTGGCACTGTGTCTAAAGCAAGGTCAGATTCATTTTCCATGCAAGGTTTGAAGCACAGCATAGAGAAGGTGTGAGGGCCAGAACCCTGCTCTAACGCAGACAAAACCCACGGGCCTGAGCACTTACCCTGCATTATACCTTCAGGTAGGTACCGTGGGAGTTCTCCTGCTTCAAAGAGTTAATATAGGGCATTTGACCACCTGCAGAGGAAAGTTTCTCACTGAGCTTTCTGTTCACCAGCTCCATGTGCCTGGAGTTTTTCCTGGCTTGCCGGAGAGACCTCTTGACTTTCTTCACCCGGTCCCGCAGCTGCTTGTTGCGCTTCTCCAGCGCCGCCACCTTCTGCTGCAGCTTCTTCACCCTGTCCTCCTCCTCAAACAGGGCCTTCTGCACCGAGGAGCACATCAGCTGTGGGGACAGCAGCAGGTCAGGTTCACAAAAAGTTATCACAGCAAGGGTTAATTCAGGCTTTGCAGAAAACACCTCACAACTTTTCAAAAGCTGAATGCTTTTCTGGGGAACTTCTTTTGGTTTTATATCCTTCTACGTAAAATCCTCTCTTTCACTTGTGGATTTAGTTAAGACCCAAAATTGTAGATCTTAATGATACTAGTGATTCAAAATTACTTTTATGAACTGTCCTGTGCACTGAGGCTACATTGAGTTTATGGAGAAAAGCTGCCCTAATTCTGGTACTAAACTAGAGTTTTGGTCAAGGGATGTCACTTTTGGAAAACTCTGGTTTTGATTCAGCTTTGCAGCCCTTCAGAAACCCCAGATTCTGATAAGAGCCTGCCCTTAGCTCTTTATGTCAACATGTGAAATAAGGACAGCACCTGCCAAACACAGAACTGGTTGTTTTGCTTTTCCAGGAATAGAAGTGTCTTAAACACCTCATTATATTGGCTTGTTTAAGACAAAACCCTAGAGAAGATCTCAGCAGTTTCTAGGAACATACATGATTCCATAACTTTAACATAAATTATTTGAGGGGTCATTGCCTGAAAACCGCCCCTCCCACTCTACCCCATACAATTTACTGCAATATTGCCCCCAGAAGGGACAGCAAGTTTTGACATTCACACATGCCAGTGGCTCTTAGGAGAGAAAAAAGAGATGATTTCAAAGGTGCTGCCCCCAAGGCATCACTAGAAAAACAGCTCACAGGGCATTTTCTAATACACTGGGTTGGGTGTTGGTACAACTGCAAAACATCTGTTGGACAAGTGCTCATCTTCCACTACCTCATCCTGGGATGACCCAAAAGATCTCTCTTATCTCATGGGTGTGTTTATGGTCTCACTGGTTTCCTGTGTGTAGGGGCAGCAACAGGAGTAGAATGGCAAACACCAGCTGGGGCTGCTGAGCAGTCAGTTTCCAACACAGCCTCACTCAGGATGGGATTCAGCTGCTTCTCTTAAGCTAAAAGTGAGACTCAGGTCTGGGTCTGTACCTCCTAGGGCAGAGGTAGGAATCACCCTCTGAACACAGCTCTCTCCTTTTACTGACCACAAAGACACCAAGTCCCATTTTTTCCTACCTGGAACACATTTTCCAGGCAGCAAACGGGGAGCTCAAGGCCAGCACTAAAAGGTTTCTGATTTAGAAGATCCACATCAAAATCAGTTTCTCCTCAGGTGCTCCTGCTTTTTTTCTGCCCTACAAAAAACATCCTGAGCTATTTTATTGTGCGTGTGGGACTTTCATTTTGCTGCTGCACTGTGAGGACGAGCAGTGTATTCTGCTGGATTTATCTTCTAAATAAATCTAGAAATTTTTCTATGTGTGTCAAGCACTCCTGGAGTCTGGATGAGCTTTCTCTGGCAGAACATTTGGAACAGACAGGGAATCTAAATAAACAAGTAAATCCTGACTGTGATGATGAAGGATTACATGTTTCTTTCCATCTTACTTTGTAGTATTTTCAACAACTGAAGGCTGGGGAGGGAGCCTGCCTTGATGAATAACATTTCATTTGCTTTGGAAACCCCCAGCAGTGGGAAACCATGGCCAGTCAACACAAACACAGCAACTGCTTCCACTCCCTTGGAAGCTCTTGTTCCTTGTGCAAAAGTACTGTGGGGTTTTGCTGTATGGCAAATTCTTGCCCCAACTGTTCTCTCTGTAGGGCTCTGTTATAAATGCATGCTAGCAAGATGGGGAGCACACAGATAGAGGGCCAGAAATTGGGCTGAAAAGGAGAGAGTTTGGTTTTGATCACTGCTCAATCCAAGTGGTCTTTGGAAACAGCCAGCACATCTTGGCTTTTGTGTTTGCCAAACCCTTGCAAAACCTCAGGCAGAACACTTCTTGAATTTAAATCCCCATAAAGGAGGACACTGAGTTAGGGAAATGTGTTTGCTGGGAAGACATGAGGTGGAAACTCTACTTCACCAGGGATTTCCTGCATTTTCCCTGGATGCAGTGATAGGCATGGCCCATGCCAGAGTCCAGTGCAGAGGAACAAACACTCCATGCAGCTCAAGTGGGAGGTTCTGTGAACCCAACTGCATTTCATGTGCCTGGGCTGGCTGATGGGGGGATAGCAGACATCAGGGACAGTATTATCCTCATCCCAGAGACACTCACAGATATTTTGAGGTTGGTCCTTTGTCAGCAGAGGTAGATCTGCTCTACAGAGCCACTCAGAAACTTCTCAAACACTATCAAAAATCTAACCAGCTCATTTGCTTATACTGTTTTTCTACAGCCCTCACTCTCCAGTCTGAAACACACAGTTTAGTGCTTAAATTATCTGGAGATATCCAGAGACATCACAGAAACAGCACAGTTCTAAAAAAATGAGGCACTATCTGGCATGCAGGGCTTTGTTTGCCAACAGGGTAGGTGATAGGAAGAGCCCAGCTTGATAACTGGATGCCTGCCTGCAACTGCAAGACTACCAGCTGGAAAATAAACACTTTGTTCCTTCTACATAAGGGAAAATAGCAAGGTGGAGTCCTCTCATTCTCACTGGCTGGTTAAAACAGCATTTTTCACAGGACTCTGCAGTGGGGATGATGATGGTGGTGATGATGATGGTGATATTTAAGTGTGAGTGCTGTCCTGTCCTTGATATTACTGCTGGGGCTGTGATGATGGTGATGGTGATGATGATGATGATGTTTAAGTGTGAGTGCTATCCTGTCCCTGCTGTTACTGCTGGGGCTGTGATTCCCCTGGCTGCAACCAAGTTATCCTCAAAGTGGTGCTGAGAGCTGTGTGACTGTGACAGCTGTGAGCTCAGCACAGGCTGGATAACCAACCCAGCTGCTGAACAGCTGGTGAGAAGTTAACCAGTCCAAGTTGCTACCTGGATGCTTGGGAAGTGAAGAGAAGGACTAGGAAATGGCTCCTAGGCAAAACTTATAGGTAATTTTCCAAATTCCATTCAAAATTTGGGTTCCCTAATGACCCATAATTCAGAAGAGTTGTTTGGCCTGACGATCTGTCTGCATGTCTGCTTGTTCCACAGTTTTGTTAGGAGGGCATGCTCAGCAGTGGTACACTCAAGTTCAGAGCAGAACCAGAGATGTAATGAGAAGGGAGGCACAAGAACCATACAGATCCTGAGGAGTTATCCCAGACAGCCTACAGCTGTGAAACTGCTTATTAAATATGTTTGAGTATTTGTCTGAGAGACCATATCACAAATATACCGAGTTTAAAGTTTCATCATATCTAGGAGATTTACAAAATCTGCCAAAGAAATCAGCACTGTAATAAATAGAATAGAATCACAGAATCATTGAGGTTGGAAAAGACCTCCAAGATCATCCAGTCCAATCACTAACCTAACAAACTAATTTTGGATCATCACATTTTAGGCATGCAAACCCCTTACCAAACATCATCCTGAACTGATATATATATATACTGTTCTTATTGAGGGACACACAGCTGCCTTCTGGAAGCCTGATTTGAGGGCACAGTTGATAAAGGTGCCATGGATAAGGGTGTGATGGTAGTGTTCATCCACCACAAAATGTCCATAAGTGGTTGAAGTTAGTGTTACAGAACTCAAATCACTCAAAGCCCAGCAGTGACACCCAAGTCTTGCCCTTCACCTGCCCAAGGGAGAGATTTTGATTCCCAGCAATCTCCTCATGCATGTTCTTTATGGCAACACTGATAAAAACCACTGGAGTCCCACTACCTAAGTCTTTCCAGTGGGAGTGAGTGTGTTGCATGGAAAGAAAGACAAGAAATCAAAGAATAATGGGGGAGGTCTGGCAGAGGGAGTATTGGGTTTGGGATGGGAGTATTGGGTTTGGGATGGAGTGACTTCACCTCCAGTTACTGGGGTTTTTCAGCCAAGACCAACACTCGTGCTGAAGTGTGGAAAAGTCCCTGTCAGCGCTGTTAAAGCATCATGTTGGGTGAAGTGATGGGGCATGGCAGTGCTGAGTTAAACCTTTGCTTGCTGCAGGAAGAGCATTCAGAGGTACGGAATTGTCCCAGGGACATACCCATACCACTGGCATTAATGGAGATAAGCTGGGATTTCACCCTAGGACCCCATATGCCCCAGCAAGATGCACAGGACCTGGATGGAGAAAGAAAATGTAGTGGAAAGAAATTGTTACCTTGCTGAATGCTGGGTCAGCATTTGCCACAGGAAATGTAATGTTTGTAGCACAGCTCTCCAGTTCATTCAAAATATTAGAGATGAGGATTTCTTTGGGGTGTGAAGCACTGCGTACAGGAAGCCTCTGCCAAGCTACATCCACTCTCAAGTTGCTCTTCTTCCTCATTTCACTCAGCACTAAAAGCAGATTTTCTCTTTAAGCTCCTTAGAGGCTGCTAGTCGTGGCAAATCATCTTTCCCAGCAGTCATCAGAGATAAATGGGCACATCCTAGAGGAGGTATCTTGCCTGCCTTAGACACTTCCCTGAGGAAGACCATCTTTGGAGACTCCTGCCTAGATAACTGTCTCAGACTGGGATGGATGTCACCATGAGTCCCATCAAATGGCATCTGAATGGCACTGACTTCCCAGGGCAGGCTGCAAGGGCAGGATACAGATAATTTTCCTGGAGTTTGGAGAAACTGGCCATGGAAACCAACCCAAATCCATGTCCATGTGCACTTGGGGGTCTTTAAAAAGAGCTTTGTTCTGATCTGCATCAAATCACTGCTTGGTGTGAAGGTATCTGAACTGCTGGTGGCTCTCATCTGCAGTGGGTGTTGCTGGCATCCATTTCAAAACCCCACACTTGCCCTTCAAACCCACAGCCCTTCCACCCCTGCTCTGGCTGGGGGTGGCTTTACAGGATGCAGGGTCATTATGGGGCACTTGAGAACTGGTGAAAGAGCCTCAGCCATGGAGGTACCTGAAGAGATGTCCCTGGCCCCAAAGCCACACCTAGAGCTTGTCCTGAGGCATTGCTTTCCCCTGGCACTTGGA